GAACAAAGGACACTGGTAAGAATAAAGAACTTTTTATTTTGGCCAATTTATAGGCGGTAGTACAAGGGATGTAACTCTTCCCTTGAACGGCAGAAAGAGGCGTCAACACGTTAAAAGTATGTGAGTAGGATATCARCACATTGTATCAGTTTCTATATCAATAACTGTTTTCATAATGATGTAATAACTAAGAATAAACCTGTCAGTCTTGTAAAGCTCTGTATGTCTAGCTATGACTCATGACAGACTTCACGTGGCTGGTACTTTACTCCTCTTTTAGTTTCTGTAAGGCGCTGAGAATAGAAAATAGAAGAAAAAAAGAAAAACGTTTCATTAAGGCGAAAAAAAGCTCATCAAGAGAAGAGCAAAGGAAGCCCTCTTTTTTTCGTCCTATCAATAACCATTTCCTCATGTACATACGTTTAGCATGATTTCATTGATGACAAATCAGTTTAACAATTGTATGCAACTTGACAAGATTATCTTAACGGCTTACTCATAATCCTTATTTTAAGTACATATTTGGCTTTGATCAGTCCTTTTCTATAAATTATGAATTGCGATATAAAACAACATGAAGACGATCCTTTTGTTGTGACAAATGTGCTTGAATTACCATGTGAAATGGTTTTCAATGGTCTCAACCCCTTCGAGGGACAGTTCGCTGTAGGGGAAGCATTYAAAACATGAAGTGGTGTTTGGCCTGGTCACAGGMAGTCCATTCATCTCATGCTCAAATTTTAAATGTGGGCTACCTGTGGTCTGGCTTAAAGGTTTACCTAATCATGAAAATTGGTGTCAATGAGACAGCACCAAGAACTACAAACACCATGTACGTACACTTGGCTTCACTTGCAATGATGTACAGTGTGTTAAATATCCATGAACCAACCACTAATGCAAGGGATTCTAACACACCAACTGCTGTGTTGGTGGCACCTGCAGACAACGAACAAAGTAGAGTTTAACTCTTTATAATGCGCCATTACTTGCGTCACAATAAAGTTGCAAGATTACAGAGGTGCCTTTTTAATATTCTTTCGACTTCTATTGCGTGCTTTATTCCAACTGGAAACCAATTTATTGATGGATTTTTACTTTACACGATATGTGCGATAAGAATTGTGTTTTTCAGAAACTTGTGGAGAACTGGGAATTGCTTATAAAATCATTAATTTACTAATTTGAATGTGAATATTTTTTTGTGACGTGAATTAATTGGTGAGATCGTTTCTGAAAAGGCTAAGACGTTCAGCCATAATTATGGATTATACCTTGTTCTTCTTGTTTGACAAGGGTTGATATGGCACCCTTGACCAATGGCATCACTATTCCACTGATTGAACTAATAATGGGAACTAGGAATTAAACAGAGATCGATGATATTATATCAAGCACTGGGGGGAGGGCGGGTGTGGGCTTTTAAAAAGCTATTCATGTAGTGATAAGGAACGATATATGGTATGGTATGGTATCAAGCATGTCACTTTGAAAAGCCAGAGTACAGTATTTTATATAAGGTATAGTATATCGTGTGGTGTGGACTGGCATAGTATGTTTTTTGCAAGCATGCACATGGCATGGATTGTATTTGTTATTGTATAGAGAGAACATATGATATATAGTRTGGTATCTGGTACAGTATCTGGTATGGTATATGATGTGATATATTGTATGGTATATGGTATTGTATCTGGTATGGCA